GTGGAAAATCAAAGAGCGCCATGATGCCAGCACCGACACCTCTGCGCGCTATTAATACATCAGGCACGGTGGGGATCAGGAGTCAGAGAGTTAATCATAACCATCCTTTTCCTGTCGGTGCCTGTCTCCCGCTAGATGCTTTTAGACCCAAGCAGAGCTACGATAGAGCGTGCTTTCCATGCCGGAAAGAAAAGACCTGGGTTCTTTGATACAGTATGTGATTTCCCTATATACGCAGGATCTGGGGATATACGAACTGGGATAAAGAGCAGGCAGAGCTGGCGAGGAGAGGTGTTTTGAGGGAAGTCACACCCGTAGCTTGCTAATACGGCAGAGGTTTTCCCCAGCACCTGTGTTGGTCTCCGGGTTGCTGCCTGTATTCCTGTTGGGTGGCTGGATCAGTGGGTGATGGGGTCACGGCTGCTGTGGCACCTGGGGCAGAGATGAGTGAGGAAGTGGGGTGAGCTCAAAGATTGCTTGGGTTCGTGGAGCTTTCCCTAGAAAGCTGGCACAGTGCGGCACGGGGCAAGTTTCCGTGAAGAGTGGCTGCCTGGTGGGTGTGGCACCTTCCTGAGCAAACCCGGTGGTTAACGGCATTACTGGAGGCAGCGTTACGAGGGTTGTAAGCACCTCAAGGTTTTCTCCATATTCAAAAAACATCCTTCAGCCAGAATATTTGGTCTGGAGGGGAACGGCCTCCTTCTAAAAGCAGAGCTTTATGATACCGAAGTGCTGCATTTATACATGTCTCCACTATCAACAGGCAGCAGTGCCTGGTGGCCAAGGCTGAGCCTGGGTGTTGCATTGGCTTTCTGGGTGATGGCTCCTCTCTGGGTGATGGCTCCTCTTGTCTTGGTCCTCAACGTGTTGTGTGACTTGCAGTTACTCAGGGCATGTCTGGACTGGGGGAGACCCTGGTTATCTTCTGGGTGAGTGTCAAGTGCTTTGTACATGACTCGACCTTTGCTGACAGCTGTAGTGTAATAGGTTCCCACCTATAGCTAGTTCTTTGCTCTCTAATTTGGAATAAAATAAGAAACTGTAAGAATTATGAGTCTTTGCCTTGGAATCAACAGTTCGTTTTAATTTCATCACTTCTCACAAATTTCCTTCTCCGGGGAGAGGACTGCTGGAAAAAAAAAAAAACCAAACCTCATCCTGTTCTCTTTGAAATGGGATGTGTTGAAGCTTCTATAAATGAATATTCATTAACGTTAGTATTGAGTTTTGTGGCCAAATCAAAGGCATAAATTAATATTAGTGAAGTTGGCAGGCATCAGGGCTGGGCTGCCTTTTTTTTTTTTCCCTTCTTATGTTTTACGCTTTTGGCCCTTCTCCTTCAGCAAAAGCCAATCAGGCACTCTGTGTTATACCTTGTGCACACTGCTCATCCCACAAGTGCCCACAGGATCTATCTGTGTGTATCTTCTGAGTCCCCATTCCAGTGTGGTAAATTTGATGTTTCATCCTGCCACTAAGGAAATACACTGTAGGTTTGAGCCTTCTGGCCTCTAAGGAAATGCTTTGTAAAAGTATGCAACAACAGTGATGATGAAATCATATAAAAATGTAATTTGTTACTGTTCTTAACATTTCCCCCCACTCACACTCCTGCTTTTTGGAGCTATACCAGTGCCTGGTAGTAGTGAGAAACTAATATTTGATAGTGTCTTATGTTCTGATGCTTTGCTGTGGATTTTCCCACACTAGGCTGTGTTCCTTGCATGGGACCAGGAGCTGTCCTGAGCACCCAAGAACAGCACCTAGCACTGTGCCACAGCATCCAACCACAGGCACTGCCAGTAATCGGTAGCTGGCCAAAACTTCTCTCTGGGATCAGGTCTGCAGTATCAGGAACTTCATGTAGGAAGAGGCAGAGACTGGTTTGACCTCTGATCAGTGTGGGAGCAGATAACCACTCTTGGGAAGGCAACCCTGTGGTATCCTTTCTGGATTACTCCCCTTGGTGCATGTGGGCATAACTGACTTGTTGTGCTTTGTCTGACCATGCCTTGCCTCCTGACTCCTTTCAGACAGAAGGGCCTGACTGATACCCCTTTGACCCCTTTTTCCCTGAAGCAGCTTTATTCCTGCATTCCCTTCTCCCTTGTGGTAGAAACACCGTGTTGCAGATAGCCCCATTTGGCACTGAGCATCTCCCTACTCTCATTTACCAATCTGCACCTGTTTTATTTAATTTAATTTCATTTCATGTCATCTACCCCATTTTTTCTTCTCCATTTCAGTTTCTGAAAGTTCATGCTTCCTGCAGTTTGTCCCGTTTGTGACTCTCATGCTGCCCTTTATGCATCCCACACAGCATCCAGGCTTGCTGTTGTTAGTGGAGCACCAGCACTGCTCCAGTGTAAGGTGCAATTCCGATGTGAGTCAGAGTGGAGGAACTGGGTCCCTTTCACTGTAAATACGGTGGGAGGGGAAGGACCTCTGTATTTGAAGCACCGGGATGGTCTGGTGATGCACTGAACCCGTAAGTGTAAGCACTTCAGTCATGTCCTCTGCACTGTGTTGAAGTCCTTGGAAGGGGGGTCTCAAACCACTAATTCATGAGTTTTAGCTGGGGATGGAGCAGGGTGTGCATAATGGAAGGGTGGCCAAGAGTGCATCTACAGGAGTACATTTCTCAGGCTGTGTAGTATGGACAGCCACCATTGCTGAGGTGTTTTTCTGCATGAGGTGGCAATCTTTTGTGCTTCAGTTGTGCAGGACGTTCTCGTGCAGACCAGATCTTCCAGGATATACCCCCGTGCTCATTGCTTTTAACATTGCTATTATACTTCTCTTGTGCAGCACATTACAGGGAATCAACAGAGATGATGACACTGAAATATCTGTTACAACTTATTTTGGCTTCTGTGTTTTGGCACTTTTCAAGCAAGGCCTGAACCTAGATGAACTCAAAATTGCAGCATATACAAAGCACAGTTAAAAAAGGGCATGTGGCACGTAAAATGCATGTTGCGGGACGTTTGTTGCAGCAGCAACTGCACCCACTAGAACATAATCTGTTTGAGCTCAGTGAAGAGGAGGTGTGAATACGATTCTACTGAGCAAAGGCAGAGTAGCTAGTCACCAAAGCAAATGCAAGGAGGCATTTGGGAGAGGAAAATGGTGCCCAAATCTCTTAGAAAATGGGACTAATCTTCCTGGGAATGGTCCAAGAATTGGCATATGAATGGGGAATGGCACTGCTGGTCCTGAGCTGACAGACTGTAAGGCATGGGGAGACAACTCAAAAATGTGGTGTTACAGAGGAAGGCTCTCACTACTGAGCATAGCAAGAAAGGAGAAGAGCTAGCACAATGTGAAAAAAGAAGCAGATGCAGAGAAATGGAGAGGCTGAAGAAATTCAGAGGAGTGGGCACAGAGAATAATTTTAGTTGTTACTTTTTGAATTGATATGAAGAGACATGAGAAATAAGTAGACTTCAGCTGAAGACAGCAGAACACTTTGAGAGAGAAAAAATGTGTTTGTCTAGATTTCTACTGTGTTAGACACTAGTTCAAGACAGAAACTATCTGGCCTGAGCAAAATGCTGGGGTAATGTGAGCTGTTCTGGTGTGAAACATTGAGAGAGCTGCCAGCTAATTCACTTTGGACACGAGGGGAGACATGTCCTACAGATGCAAGACATGGTGAGTACCTGGAATGGTGAACCAAAGTCCTTGTGTAGATTTGGATCTATTCGAGGTTTCAATCTATTCCACATCTCCCCTGGCCGTGCTTTTTTACCACCCACGTTTGTTTAACAGTATGAAGCTACACTCAGATTGGTGTGTGACTTGCCAAAAGTGTTTGAAAAGCCTACTGAGTGCTGGGCATGGGAACACTGTCTCATGTTATTATTCTGCTATTGACGCAAGATTTGGGTTGATTTAGACAGCACATTTTGTCCTGCTTTAAAACACCAAGGCCTGGGCCTTCTGGATCTCTTCTTACTCTTTGTAAGAGTAATCTGTTATTTTTCGTAATTTTGTTATTTGCCTAATCTTCAAGATTACATTTTCCCATCTGTATCTGTTTAATAGACTTGTCCTCTCTCAGTTTACTTGTCCGTCGATGTACGTTTGTGAATTCACATTGCGTAGTGGACTAGACTTCAGCCTGGCAGCTGTTGAGATGCTTTAATTGCTTCAGTATAAGTTTTTGGACTTCCAGCCACCATTTCCATCATTCTGTGACATGTCTATTCCTTTCCTTTTTCTATAGGAGAAGAAGTGGCCACAGTGTTCAAGCCAATTCCATATGGTGACTTAAATTGCATTCAGAGTAGGTCCTTCTGGGGACATATCCGTGGAGACTGAAACCTTTGGCAGAGGGACAGAAAGAAGGGTTTGGGGCAATGATTTCTTTAGCTGCCACTGCAAGTTCATCAGTCAGTGCCCTCAGAAGGGCATTAGTGGTTTCAGCATCGTAGCTGGTGCCACCCTAGAGACCTGAGCTGTGCTTTGCTGGAAGCTGGGTAGGTTTGGGAAGGGGACAGTGGCTGTCGGGGAAGACAATGGGTGCAATGAGGTGGTTGTCTGAATCTTCTTACAAATACTGAGAGCGACCGTTGCCAATGAACTGCTTTCCTGACAAGGGGTCAGAGTCTGTTTTCTACTTCACTCCCATTTCTTTCATAATCAAGAATTATATAAGTGGTAAGAGGGGGAAACTTCCATTTTCCTTTATGGGAGCCCAGAGAGCCCACTGGCTTATGAAGCACTTGAGCATTAGTTGAGATAAACTTGCTTTTTGTACATATGGGAGAGAGAAATGGTTTTGTATTCTTGTGTTACTACTGAATAATAAACGTCCCTGCTGACTTCAGTGAAGTCTACACTCCATGTATAATCTCCTGTGTGTAAGTGAGGACCCAAGTAAAGCTGATCACCCTTGCCCACCTTGCACATGGCTGGCTAAAGGAGTAGGCAGTGCTCGAGTGAGGAGGCTGTGGAAGGGTTTTTTGTGAGCCAGTGCTGATACCATGTGAGAGGAGGCAGCAAGCATCACAACTTGCATCACAACAAGCATCACAACTTACTCTCACTGGCAGAAACAGTAGGTGAGGCAATATAGGCAGAAAGTGTCTGAGTGCAAACAATACGCGTGTGCATCCAGTGCATTTAGTCAATCATGAATTATCATTGCTAAAATCATACTAAAGGCATTTCCTACTATTCTGTTTGCCTTGCATCCACGACCTCTGTCA